ATACAAATATACTCTGAAATGCCTTTAGCATGTGTCAGTGTTTGAAGCACATGTAAACACACCAACCAAGGCAGGGAAATATATTCCACTTGATCAACTTTATGCACAGACACCTTCGCTCCTTGGTGATGTGTTGCCGTGTTTTTAGACATGCTTCAGACACTAGCACACACTGAAGGGGTTCTCATAGCAGCTCAGGGAACCAGATAACATATGTAACTCTGAGACATTTTGTCGTTATGGGCCGCTGTGTTACATCCTGTCTGTCAGCAGCTGCACGATTGTTCCACTTAGTTCTCTGCACACATATACTAATACAAATATACTCTGAAAATAGGTTAAGCATTAGCATAGCTGCAACAGTCATATTAGCATTTCTCATGGCACAAGGATTCTCGGCTTATCACCCCACAACCATCCAAGATCAATTAATAAAATGAAAAATCTGTCATCCCTTACTCATCCATTTGTGAATTCTAATACCTACGCCCCCCCGTTGGAACACAAAACATTTTTAGACATTTTTAGTAATGTCTTTGTGACACTGCATTATAATTACCATAGTAACATTGTACTCCATATTACAGTGACCATTTTACCCCTATAACAATTGGATTAATGAACAACAATAATAATATGCAACTGTATTTTCTGACCGAAACCTTTTTTATGAACTAAATATGAGCAGTGTCTACTCATGGAAAAATTATATGCAACAATGCTAGGGTGTTATTAGTAGTTGTCTGGGTGTGTTTTTTTTTTAAAGTTTGCTACAGTATTCGTATCATGTAATCAGATGTTACTACTACTCTTATCACCAACAGTTGAGAGCGACTGTCAACAGTGGTGAGACTTTAAAAGAGCAAACGCCCGGTGAAGGACCTTCTCCCCACTAAGGTAAATCACACCAACCCCGATCTGTAATGCCAATCTGTGCTGCAAAGACAAGTGAACCTCAGAGAGCATCAAGGTCAGTGTCCAACTCGATCCGAATTACAGTTAGGAATGAGTACAGTAACCAGTATCCAGTATAGAGCGAGTTCTGTTAACCCCACAACCATCCAAGATCAATTAATAAAATGAAAAATCTGTCATCCCTTACTCATCCATTTGTGAATTCTAATACCTACGCCCCCCCGTTGGAACACAAAACATTTTTAGACATTTTTAGTAATGTCTTTGTGACACTGCATTATAATTACCATAGTAATATTGTACTCCATATTACAGTGACCATTTTACCCCTATAACAATTGGATTAATGAACAACAATAATAATATGCAACTGTATTTTCTGAACGAAACCTTTTTTATGAACTAAATATGAGCAGTGTCTACTCATGGAAAAAATTATATGCAACAATGCTAGGGTGTTATTAGTAGTTGTCTGGGTGTGTGTTTTTTTTTTAAAGTTTGCTACAGTATTCGTATCATGTAATCAGATGTTACTACTACTCTTATCACCAACAGTTGAGAGCGACTGTCAACAGTGGTGAGACTTTAAAAGAGCAAACGACCGGTGAAGGACCTTCTCCCCACTAAGGTAAATCATACCAACCCCGATCTGTAATGCCAATCTGTGCTGCAAAGACAAGTGAACCTCAGAGAGCATCAAGGTCAGTGTCCAACTCGATCCGAATTACAGTTAGGAATGAGTACAGTAACCAGTATCCAGTATAGAGCGAGTTCTGTTAGATAACATCTGCAGTTAGTCACCTATCACGTTCTTGCTATCACACCACTTGCTCAACAGTGACCATGTGACCCTGCCAACCCTTGCGGTAAAGCAAATGAGATGAGATCTCAACAGTTCAATTTCTCATCAGTGTTCAATACCAACCCATTTCTTGTTCCTCTAATCATTCTCTTTTCCTTTCCTTACAAATGTATTCTCATTCTTCCTGATTGTCTCTGTTGCTTGTGCTGCTCTTTTTTTCTTTTCTTTCTTTTTAACAATAACAAATCAGTTTTGGGCTTTTTCTTTAGCCAAAGACCCCAGTGAGCCTGTTTTCAATTTATCTTTCATCTGTGTGCTTTCTTCTGTTTTCGATCATTCTCTTTTGGGCTATAAATAGCCATTAAGTTATCTTCTATCAAAGGTCCAGCAATTTTAAACTGTCTCAAAGCAGCCAATAGCTTTCCTTTGGGTGTACCAGTGGCACAAAAGGCCAAGGGCCTACCCATCATTACAGAAGTGTAGTGAAGCCTGTTGCACATAACCAATTATCAGTAGCTTCACTTGATTTATGAAGTATGAGACCAGAAGCACAGCCACACAACATGGTGACAGAATCAATTTGGCAAAGTAAGTCTGATGATAATACACACTTTCTGCTTTTAAAATGTTTTCAAATATTGTGCAAAAACTGTTTGTAAATTTTTTTTTTAATTGAAATTTTCTTAATTTATGCATATATGTCAACTGCTTTAATTAAACTCTATTAACAGGGATGCACGTTTTTTAGTCTGGTTCTCATGAAAGCACCTGGAGATTTGGTTTGGTCCTCACACTGCACATAGTGTAACCCATTAAAAAAACGATAAAAATAAAATGATTAAGGTGTACCAGTGGCACAAAAGGCCAAGGGCCTACCCATCATTACAGAAGTGTAGTGAAGCCTGTTGCACATAACCAATTATCAGTAGCTTCACTTGATTTATGAAGTATGAGACCAGAAGCACAGCCACACAACATGGTGACAGAATCAATTTGGCAAAGTAAGTCTGATGATAATACACACTTTCTGCTTTTAAAATGTTTTCAAATATTGTGCAAAAACTGTTTGTAAATTTTTTTTTTAATTGAAATTTTCTTAATTTATGCATATATGTCAACTGCTTTAATTAAACTCTATTAACAGGGATGCACGTTTTTTAGTCTGGTTCTCATGAAAGCACCTGGAGATTTGGTTTGGTCCTCACACTGCACATAGTGTAACCCATTAAAAAAACGATAAAAATAAAATGATTAATAATAGTATTATTACACTTTATTTATTTGGCTTTTTAATAAAAAATAATAAATACAGTGCGACAATACTATTTTAAAATAAAAAGTGAGTATTAAATAAAAATACACTTATTTTATAGCACACTTAAATACAATACAAATATTTCACTTTCAATTTATTTTTTATTTATTTATTTATTTTTAATATGAATTTTTATCATTTTCAAACCTAAAATTAGCAAGCTTTTGGCAGGTTGCTGGCAAGTAAGCATACGCACTGCCGTTTTAGCAGTACCAAGTGAAACACGGCAGTGAATGAAGTGTCACAGTTTCGCGTTTTACTCTGAGTAAAATGGCAGCGCATACAGTAGCCTATGCTTTCAGTTTAAATGGAAATCTTATACAGCATTACAGTTAGTTGATCTAAAACAGTGATTGTGCATTAACAGCTCTCAACCATGCCGGTACGCAAATGAGTGACCTGAACTTATTTATCCAGCGCATTTTTTTTTATTTTGGTTACCACTTGTGTGCATCACTGTCTATTAGTGTCATGAATCCTGTCCGTGGCCTTCCATCCAATTGCCACCAGAGGTCGCCCTTCCATTACATTGACTCTCCCATTACACAGACTGTTACATGTCACCCCGGACTACATTTCCCATGTTCCATTTCACTGATTACACCCTCACCTGTAGCCAATCACACACACTACACCCACTCAGACCGAGTATTGTTTAGCGATTATCGCTCTCCTAGTGATAGCTACTTTCCGAGTTTCCAAAGTCTATTCTAGTTTTGTTCATTGTGTAATCCGTGTCTTTATTCTAGCCTGCTTATCTCGTCCTGTCTGCTCTCTGCCTGCCTTGGACTTTAGTCTGTCTTGGATTATCCCTTTGTCTGGCTGTTTCGGACTGTGTTTGCACCTCGCCTGAACTATTTCCTGTTTGTGGATTACCTGTGTGCCTCGCCCTCTGGATTACGTTCGCCATCAATTGACTCTCGCCTGTCTTTGGATTTCCCTTTCGTCTTGCCTGTTCCATACTTGTTGTTGTTGTTGACCATAGCCTGTTTTGACCATGTCTTTGAATAAAGCTTTGCATATGGATCCGCACGCTTCCTCTGTTCACTCCGTAACAATTAGCCTATATTACATATATAATTGTATTTACATTTATGCATTTAGCAGAAGCTTTTAAACTAAATTGTTTATTAACTTCAGTTTGGCCTAGTAACCTAGTGAACAAAAATCGTCACTTTTAAGCTTCCTTGCTACATTTTTAACAGCGACTTTAACTTCCATGTCCAAGTCTATATGTGCTATCAGATTTGCATTGTATTATCATGTGAGAGAAAGTGCAGCTTCTCTCCATGCTTTCCTCAGAAACACAAAATGTCCATTCTATTGAACATTTAATGAAGAAGTATTTTTGAAGAAGAACAACAGAACGAAACAGGAATTTATATTACCGGTTTACAGGTATCTCCTCATATTGTGAGCAATACGGCACCTCGCCGAGCTTTCTCTGTGGAAATTCCCACCCATTAGCTCTGAGCACTTCATTTTTCAGAGGTTATCAGGGCCAGGACAGAGGGTGGCAATAATCAAGAGCAAGCAAAAGCAGTGGGGAGAGCGAGAGAGAGACAGTTGGCAGCCTCAAACTTATTGAACAGGAACAACCACAATAGTGACAAGCTTGCTAACAAGAAAGCCCACATTAGTTTAGGATTTATGTGCTGAATATTTATTGCTTATTGTGGGGAGTAACTTTGTAAAAAAAAAATCGATACTGGAAAATGAAATGGTGATTGATCACACTGAGAAACACTCTAAAAGTACACAAGCTTTAGTAAAGCGTTCTGCATTTTCAAAAAAATAAAAATAAAAAGGAACTTCTTTCAGATTTTTTTTTCAAATGATAGTACATCCATTATCTCTATGACATGGTATTACAGAATATAAGCACTGTACACAACTGTACAGGTATTGCTGTACTTTCACAGCATTGTGACAGCCTACTTCTAGTGTATTAAACCAGATCTATCTTACCCGCATCTCCTGGGCCTCCTTCTGACCATCCCAGGCCCAGCTGCGCTTTGTGAAGTAGTTGACAGTGGCAAACTCAATGAGAGCAGAGAAGACAAAAGCATAGCACACTGCCATAAACCAGTCCATAGCTGTTGCATAAGCCACCTTGGGAAGTGAGTTCCGGGCGCTTATGCTCAGTGTCGTCATGGTCAGGACAGTTGTGACACCTAAAAACAGAAATGATTAAGTGTTAGATGTCATGGTCAAGATAACAGAAAACGTGGAGTAATTTTTTTTTGCAATGTCAGTTGCTGTTTTAGTTGATTTAGCCAATGTATCTAACCAGATGTGACTAAGAAATTATGTGAAACAATAATTCCACCTTAAATGAAACGTCAAGTAAATAAACCCACGCCAACATGCAAGCTCCAAACAGAAAGGTCTTGAACCCGAGCATTCATGCTGTGAGGGTGATAGTACTATCCACTTAGCCACCATGCCACCCTGGTTTCTACCATAGCTTGAGGAGAGCTAAAAAAAAAAAAAGATCCCACTTTATATTAGGTGGCCTTAACTACTATGTACGTATATTTAAATTAATAATTTAATACAATGCACTTATATTACATTGTACTTATATTTTTTAAAAATACCTGCATGTAAATACATCTGTAATTAATTTCTGTAATTACATTTATAATTACACTGTTGACCCATCCCTTTATACCTTAACCCTCCCTTAAACCCATACCACCAAACCTGTCCCTAACTTTACCCGTATCCCACCTCAATAGCAGCAGAAGTGTTTTTCAATACAATATGAACACAATAAGTACATTGTACTTATTTTTTGATGTAAGTACATAGTAGTAAAGGCCACCTAATATAAAGTGGGACCAAATTTTTTATTTAAACAGTATTTCAGATCCATTATATATTACATAAAACATTAAACTACTTTTTTGATTTTCTTTTTACTTAAATGATTAAATATGGTACAAATAAATTATTGTTTTGTTGAAAATGAATGATGACCATATTTTTTATTTTATTTTCTTTATTGATTTTACTTTTGTTAATTTAGTGTAACTGAAGCACTCTTATAGTTTTTTTTTTATTACTAATTTTAATTATTTACAATTTTTGTATTTTTGTTTTTATTTTAGTTTTTTAGTAATTTTGTAGTCTGTTTTTGTCATTGCTCTTAGTTATTTTTTAAAATATCTATATAGTTTTTATTCATTTTTATTTGTTTTAGTTATTTCAGCACATCAAGTACTAAATGAAAATGAAAAATGTTTTTGGCAACTACTGGAAATAAGATAAGTTTTTTATATTTTATTTGATTTCAGTTAGCATGTTTTATTTTGAGTAACAGAAAGGATTTGTATTTTTTATTTAATTGTTTTAGTTTTAGTTAACTTTTTACTAACTTTTTAGTTTAGGTAACTTTTAGATAACTATAATAACTCTGATTATTTCTTATCATTTGCAGGATCTCAGCAAAGTTCCTGATTCCACTCCCAGTGAGGGTGGATACATGGAACCAGTCAAAACATTTGGATCAGCCCATGAAGAGCAAAAACCAGAAGAGCAGTGCGTGAAAGATTTGATATAACCCTGATTTAGCTTCAATTAACAAAGTACTATATTATTAATACTCATAATAATGATGGGCCATCATAGAAAGATTGATTTCTTCATGTTAAACAGGTCTCACAAGAAGGTTTCCCCCAGTGCTCCTGCAGAGGAGTCAAAAGTCAGTAGTTCTGCAGACGTTCGACCCCAAAAGACCTGCCATGACCCCAGCTTTGGCACCAAGGTGAGTCGAGTCAAGTCACCTTTATTTATACAGCGCTTTTAACAATACAGATTGTGTCAAAGCAACTTTACAGCATTAAATAGGAA